TTCCGCAACAACTTCATCTTCATATATATATATAATAAAACGGCATGAATTGCTTCGTTGCATTCGTTCTAGATCCTTTGTCTCGAGCCAGTTAACTAGCGGGCCTTCTAGAATACCCTGGAGCCAAGGGAAACTCTGAAAGAACACCCCCATTGGCTTCAAATCAATATATGATTGGTTGATCAAACTGTCAGTCCAAACGTACGCTCTCATTCAGTGCAACGGCCAGGGCATTCTATCAGGATGTAGAATACCTTGGTGAAGGATATTCTACCCAGAGACCCAGAACAAGATCTGATTGGTTGCTTTCTTTTCTAACACAAAACCACTGAAATGCGTAGTGCATGGTCCGAGAAGGACAAACAAAGCAACGTAACACTGTAATATTACAGATCAACAACACAGATACGATTCTCATTTATTCATTTTATATACATTTTATTACATCTTATTTATATAATTAAATCGATTTTTTGTTTGTTTTATCTGAGTGTTCCAGGGTATTCTCTGAATACCTTGAAGGCCCTGACGGTTCGCCACTGGGGAAACCCTGGATCAATCCCATTGCTTTTCTTAGAGGGAGCCTTCTGGGTCCATCTACACAAATACCTCATTACATCACTCTATTCTCATTCTCCTCTGCTGCTGGCTCTCTTGTAAATATGTAACTCCATGGCAGCGACCTTCATTGTCGTGGTGAAGGACTTCCCTTCTGCAGACTGCCTGACGTCTTTCCTCGCCACCCTTTTATCTCCACTGCTACAAATAGGTCTTGGACTCTAAATGCACGTGCGTCTGAGATTGCGGTGACATCAGTCTGACCTGACATGCTGACATTTAAAAGCAGTTTGTATTGTTTGAATTGGACCGTAGCCACACTGAAACCAAGGCAAAGGTCTGCCAGTGAAGAAGGATTCTGCTCCTTTCGTGTTTACTTTTAGCTTTGCTGTTTGGACCTGTATCTCTCCTCGGCAAAATAAGGACTCCAGAGAAACTTTCTCTGGATGGCACTTTGGGATGTAAGCCTTTTACATGCACAAACAAACAACAACATAACACACTACTGGTTATCTAGTTATCTTGCTCTTTGGTGAATAGAGCAGATTCTATATTTGAAATCAGACTCAGAATCATTTTAATAAACCTTAAATACTGATAGGCCAACATTGACCCATGATGAGTTTTACTACCTACAAAAAGAAAACATGCATTTAAAAAGAACCATTAGCCTTATAATATGATTTTTGCCATGATCACCATCTAATGGCCAATGAAATCTTATCAAGAACGGGACAAGCAGGAAGTAAGCTTAAATCGCTCCTGTGGGTATTGTCCACAGTAATAACTGTTACATGTCTAATATATGTAATATGTATGCTAATGAACTCTGCTTTTTGACCTGTGTTTGTAGAATACATCATATATGAGATTGCAGTAGTTCACACATGTTAACAATCAAAAGGTCCATGTTTATCCAGGGCATGGCTGTCTTTTTGTTTTGCTGCTGCCTCTCTTAAAAATGTTCTCCAACACCTTGCCTCTCCTATCTCTCTTAATAAAAAATAAATGTGGAGAAGGAGAGCCATATCACTTTACCTCTGGCTGATTTCCTGCAACCAGAGGCGGGCTGGAGGCAGACCAGCAGGGCTCATAGTTGGAAGTAAAGCCACAACTCCTGTCGATAATACAGGTTTTTTTTGTTCAAGTCCTATTGATATAAAGACTTAAAATAAAAAATGTGCTGGAAACCACCAAAGGACCAGGGTTTTCAGATTGATTTGAGCTGTCCCATTGCTCTGGTTGTGTTCACATATTTCTAACAATTCTGCGAGTCGGGGGGAATAACTAAGTGACATTAAAGTTATGTAGTTGTCATGATTTGTAAGGAGTTTGGATTTGGTGGAAACGGTAGACCCATTAGTGATGTACAGAAACAAAATAACAAATAATTTTAAACACATCTTTTCATGAAGTAACGGCTTAGCATGTCGAACGTCTGCGTGGTTATGATCCTCGACTTTAACTTGGACAAACAAACAGAAAGCCCACGTTCATCTTCACCTGCCAGGGTTCATTTTAGCATAGCTTCGCGTCACGGAGAAACTGATGCCATATTATGCAAAATAAATGGAAATAAAGTTAAAAAGGTTTGATACATTTACGTATATCAACTCAAATCCAATACTTTGGAAATATTAACTAACTAACCCTAACCCACTAATTCCCATCTCTTATTTCATTAAAGAGGCTCCATTATGCATGTTGGTGTTTCCTGTAGTGTGGGTGCATGTCAATGGTCTGCAAACAGTGGCGGAGCTGGGGGGTGCAATCCTGGCCACCCCAAACACCCTCACCACGGGGGCCCAAACAATTTTAGAACATTAAGAAAAAATTGTTTAAGTAACCTTTCATCATTCATCAAGAATTAACATTAATAGGACATTATATTGATAATGTACTCACTAAACTTACAATTCATTTAACTTATTTACTTCCAAAAGTTAATTATCCAAAGCCTCTGTACACCCCCTTCTATTTACATGTAATGGTTTGGTCCTGCCTCCAAACGCGGTGCAGCACCGCCGGCACTTTCTAGCAGAGAGTGAGAGCATGTTAGGACTTACCTGTGTGCCATGTCTCTACGACTCACAAAGTCAGGCTTTCAAAAGAGAAAAGAAAGGAGAGAAAGACAAGAGAGAGGGGCTAAAGGGCGACAGTATGTCACCCAGTTTCTCAAAGAAAAGGTGGGTGTGGTCTATGAGTGGTGGAAATGTGTCTGTTAGCTAAGCGTAGTCCATTGTAAATAATAATGGTTATGTTTTGTTTTTACTGAGCTGACATTAAGTACTGTTAATATCTATACAGGTTTTTAATTTCACTCCTCTTTTAGCTGACATTTAGTAAATGCAGGTACATTTTTAGCAGCTATTCATACTAAATCAGTTGTCCCTCCCCCTGGTGCCAGGACCAACAGATCCATCTCTAGACTCAGCAGCCCTGTCCCCCCATAAGTGTTATATTTTCACAGCTCACTGTCAGTAAATATTGTGCAGTTAGTATTGGACTACAAGATAGATGCAAGCCTGTACAGGTAGAGTTAATGAAAGCATAAATGAGTGGGTTGGGTTCTAGAGGTGTGGGTACAGCAATTGTGCTTGGTTGGCGTGGCCTGGGCCTGGAGGTGGGGCCCAATGTGATATATTTCCATGGGGCCCAGAATCCCTGGCGTGTATGGCCAGAGGGCAGGACCTATAACACATGTACTACCCAATAGCATTGTGAGGCTGAACAAAAGGACCTTTTGACTATGTAAATGTAGTCTTTTAAGAAAACAAAACATTTACTGACTTTTTTAGGATAGCTTAAAGTAATGTTGTAAAATTACAACCGGGGGCCTTACAGGGTTAAGGGCTATTGTTTATTGTTATTTACTTTAAGATGTTTATTCTTAACCTATCATTTAATTTAAAAACTCTTATTTAAAGGATGTGTGTGTGTCTCTGTATTCCTGATGATACACTGAGAGAATGAGCTCATAGGGCTGCTGATCACCATAACCTAAATAGTCTGTACAGTATATTGCACTACATTTGTATAATGTAAGCTTCGTTGTTATTTTGCCTGCGGGAATAAGAAACAAATAGTTAGATATACTGGATATTATTTGATCTATTCCACCACTTAATCCCAAATAATGTAGAGGTGTGTTGTAGGTGCCTTAAATAACCCCTTATTTTATAGTGAGATGTATTTTTATGTTCATATAATAGTGATGTCAATGCCACCCCAAAATGATCACTGGTTCCATCCTGGCCACCCCACTGAAAATGTCCTGGCTCCGCCACTGTCTGCAAAGGCTAAAAGTTCCATCTAGATGGAGTTTCTCTCCCGCACACTCCCCTGCCTGAAACGTCTCCACTGGACTCCATAGTGACACTATGTAACACTCTCACTTCTATTGGCTAGCGCTCCAACATATTGTACATGATATGCTTAGAGGCGGGACATCTCTAAGCAGTTTACCAATCACAACCGAGCTAGCCAGCTAACCAATCGGAGCAGACTGGGCTCTGGTTTCAGACAGAGGGTGAAAAGTGATTTTTGAACATTAAAAGCATGGAGACATGTCACAGTAGAGGCATAAAATACTATGATGAATGAAACGTATTTTACTTTAGAATGACGTACTGTAATGGAATACTTGTATCTATTATTGTTATCTGTTATACTCGAAAAATGTAAATCTATTCTACAAAAAGTCCAAAATATGTCCATCATATTTTCCATATTTTGATATGATTGCTAGTTTATTTTTACACCTGGCTTTGACCTATGTTACAATAGCAGCCATACAGTAAGGAGGTTAAGGTTCAGAGCTCCTCTTACTTTTACAATGATTTTATGAGAGCAAAGTGCAGGGAAAGGGAAACAAATGAAGCTGAAGATACGTCCAAAAAACACAAAATAAAGCAAGTAGAGGAGGAGACAGTTCATTGGTAGAAGTTGACATATTAGGAGAGTCTTCTCTTTGCCTCCTCAGAGAGGGAAACCGTTGGTGAGTATGACATGAAGGAGAAGGCAGACAGACTATCCATTTTCAAGTTCTGTTTGCTCAAGGGCATCTCAGCAGTATTTTTAAAAAGAGAGGAGAGGCTGTCTTATTTTCTTTGGACTCTCCTGGCTTTATAAACAACTTCTCTGGAGTTCCTAAGCCCTCAGTGACATAAACTTTATTATATTGGCTTGCAATATACAGCTGCAGTATATCCCTGTCAGATTCCTAACTAAATTGCCATTTATTTATTTAGGATTAACAAGGGAAGCTCATTGCAGATTTAGAAAAGGAATGGTGTGGGTTTGGCTCAGTGCTGGAGTGTTTGGAATCTGAAAAAGTCCACGGTAGAGTGAATACAGAACATTGAAGATGGCAGCTGCCATGTTAGATTTCCCCACCGGTGAATCGTAACCTCTGTTTTACCGTCTGTCTCTCTCCTCTACAGTCCACTGCACTTCTGAGGAGCTTGCTGCTTTCTTCAGGCGTTTCTTCCTCTCCGCTCGCTATTTCCCCAGACCCCCTCGCTGCTCCCAGGTAACCTGTGGGCATTACTCGGCACGCTCGGAGCCTCCAGGCAGACAGACCCAGCTATCATTAGAGGCTCTGTAGGAAAAGGTGAGCGTTTTTCACACACAAATGAATGGGTGTGATTATTCAGCCCACTTTTGCATATGGACCTGCCGGGTGCACTGTAATGAATCAGTGCTCTGTGCGTTGAACCACACGGGAACAGTTTTCCATATATATGTGTGTGTGCTGTGTACATTTGAAGTGTGTGTCGGAGATGGCTAAAGTGCATGCACTATGCAGTTGAAATGCTTGCATCATTTTTTGGCTGATTTATAAAAAAATAGTTTGTAATCCTGCTGTGTGTGAATTGAAACCGGGCACCTAACAACGCATTATAATAAAAGCTGATATCACTTTAAAGTATTTGTTCAGATAGTATGAATTATCAGTACATTTTGTGTTTATAGAGCGTTACTGTATTCCTTTGCTGGGTTATTACCTTGGTGTATTGTGTGGTGAATGTGTGCTAATCTCTAATCTGTAATTGTGTGTAATTGTGTGTAATTGTGTGTAATTGGCGGCTGTATTTATCCCACCAGTTCCCTCCTCCCTCTGTGTGCTTTGAGCCTCAGGCAACGGCCTAACACTGGGTCTTTGAACCCTTTGGGGGTTTCATCTTCTATAGGGGCACCCCTTTTCTACTCAACAATTGATGCAATAAATATCAATACATAGCATAGTTATCACTGCTCCCTTTTTTTCAGTTCTGACTATGCAGTCAATGGTTCTGACCCACAGTTTTCTGGGACTACCAAAAATGGGCAGCAAGTGTTTCTTTAAACTTGTCATGACTTGTTAGTTGATCAGCATCATTCAGGCTTTAATCAACTTTTTTATCTATGCAATGTTATTTATGACTGTATGTGTAGATTAGTAAAACCACCATTTTACAACAAAAGTATTTGGATTTATCTTGAAAACAAAGTTGTTTATATTCAGTGCTATATAGTGTATTTAGAAGGAGAGATCATTCCCAAGGAAACGTTTATTTGAGCTCTGTTATTTAGATTCAATCACACATAGTATACACATGCACAAACAGGACCTATACACATGCATTCATTACAGGGGCCCTATTTAGCTTGTTAGGGTTTTCCTTTCCCTGTAGTTGATATATAGGTTTTTCTTCATTATCGGCAAAGGCTACAATCCCAAAGTTCCCTCCCACTCCTGGACACCAATCTGGACTTGAGCTAGCGACCATTTGTTTTGAAGTCCCTACAGACTGAGCTCTAGCTGCCTTTTGTGTAGAGTAAAGAGTATCAGCATTTTGTATTTGTCGTTTCAAAGGTTTGGTTCAACTATTGTTCTTATCCTTGACACCCCCAGGTCATCGTCGTCCCCCAGCCGGTGAAGAAGCCATGCTTATCTGCTCACCTCATGGCTGTGCCGCAGTGACCATCACCCCCCTCCAGTCCAAGCTGGTGTTTGTTCTGGCCCTCGCTGTCCTTTTCTGCCCCTTTGACCAGGTGACATGTAAGGGGGAAGGTCAGACACAGTCCCCTGCCCAGGTGCTGCAGGACCTGCTGTCCCGCTATGGGGACAACAGCACCATCACGGTGCCCCAGCTGCGCTCCCTGCTGGCCCTGCTCAGCCAGGGCCAGGTTGAAGAGGACAACATCAGCAGCAATGTGCCCGAGATACCTAAAACAACCACGCCCCCCAAAACCAACAGCTCCAAGGTGAGAACAAAAGCACATCTTGTGTTAGCAATATGAATATATGAAACAGTCAAATGTTGTTGTACCTTGATATGATTTGATGTTTCCCCTATAAGTGTTCATTAGGAAACACGAGTAGAGACGACAGTCCATCTTTGACCATTACTCACACAACTATTCCCTGTTATCCCTTCAGTGTGAATCAATCTTTTAAACTGAAAAATGTCAGTAAATAGCCCACGTTTCTTTGTTTGCTGACCAGCAGTCAAAACCCAAAGATATTTTATATACTACAACATTATAATAACTATTGATCTTCTTCTTTTGTTTTGTTATTGTGGTTTTTTCTTGTCAATTGAATGATCATGTAATTCGTGGGACTTGCTGCTGAATACAAAGCTTGGTTCAGAGTCATCATATCAGAGCTGCAGTTCCCTAACCCTATAGGTGATGAGGTTCCTTTTATTGCCTTCTTTAACGATGGCTCCTGACATGGACTTGCTCCAAGGTGGTCCCATTATGAGTTAGAGATCTTCTGAAAGAGTGGGACCTGGTCTAAATTCAGTCAAATCAGATCTGTGCTCATGCTCTTTTGATCTTGGGTTAATTGCATGAGTAAAAGTAATCTTTTCTAACAAAGCTGCACATATATTTTGATGCATCAAATAGTGTTGGGCAATATGCTGACATTTTCAACAGGCAGCCCAACAACTGGAATTGGCGATATTATAGTGCGTGTGTTTTACAGCGTATCATGTGAAAGCAGCTCAAGTCTTTGATTGAGGAACATTCAATTAGCAAAATAAAAATATACAAACGGCACTAGGCTTGCATTACTCACCACCAGACACAAAAAAAACATGGTAATCTTTTGAATGGCTGGTAAATTCAAACTCTAGCCATTAAGCAGGTGGCTCTTTAAAGGCTATTTAAATTAATCTCAATTCTGGGTGTTTCTAAATCACTAAACATTTGTAACATTAAAGAGATGTAAGGGTGTTCTTGTATCCTCCATGGAGTGTCTCCTTAGCCTTTTGAGTATTCACCTTCTTTTTTTAAAAGTTGTAGCAGTTTCAATTCTTTTGGTGGGAGCCTCAGCGTCCCTGCCACACTGAAGCAGGCATGGTAAATCCAGCTTTAATCCTGCCTGGAGGAAGCAGGAGCCACCGGTACCAAATAGCTGAAATACTTAGCATATTTCCCATGCTTATTGTCGACGATGATTGACTCACTTGCTGATCTGCTTTTGAATAGATTTAATCTGAGTAATGTTGGAAAAGTTCTGAACACTTCTGAGAAATGAAAGGGAACAAAGGTTAAGGTCACTCGTTTGCAAGGGATTCACACCATTGTGTGCTGCTGTCATACAGAACAAACATAGGGAGTTCCTGTTGTGGTTAAGGTGTGAGACTCGCTTCAGCCACGTTTAGTCACGTGTCGCCTGTAATGAGCTTTCAGAGGCAGCTACTCGTCACTGTACACACGGCATTCCATTATTCACAGATGCCACAGTGAAATGTATCTTGTTTTTCTGAGAACAGTTTATAGTCAGTATTGGAACTCGTTTATGTATAGGTAGATGTACAGTGTTAGGGCAAAGGGACAGTGCAGATACAAAGGCAAACACTAAGTTAGTGGACTAACATATTAAATCAAGCGCCAAATACACATCAAATACTATAACAAAAACATACAATCGTTGAATAGCATATTGAATACATTTACTGCTGTTGTCAAAAGCACCTCTTGTGTTTTAGCTTCAGGAAATTCAATATTATTTACACTGATACAGCATCTATTGACTTTTCAATGTGAGCTTTACGGTTGGATACATACATTAAATAGATTTTAGAAATGGCAAGCTATCTTTTGGCTAACACCTTAGAATTACAGACGATTTGAAAGTAAAATGAGGATGAATGCCCATTTCTAGCTTTATTTAAACTTATATAGAATTGATGAAAAGAAGCAGAAAACATACTAGGTTTGGGTCGGTTAAGGAAAATAATCAACACTTGGTTTCAATACTGTCCCATCTTACTGGTTTTCTTTTTTTATTATGTGATGAATGACACTTCAAATACACCAAAGCCTAATGTGATGTGTTCACATGTGTTTGTTTTGTCTAATCCAGCTGGAACCAAACAAGGCTTACTTTAAAAAACATGTTTCAGTAACCTAATCTGAGTATCAAAATGTTGCCTGAATACTGATTAATTTTGTACAACCTCAATCTGTTTTAGTGTAAAGCATACAGTTAAGTTCACACACACTATTTTATGAACATATAGGTTCAGCTATTGAATAAAAAAAGAACAAATGAATAAAAGAAAATGAAAACCATAAAGCAAATTCAGCCAGACGTTGTATAGATTCACACTTAGCCTACAGAACAATACAGCTTACAAAGAAGAAATAACATCTGATCCTTCTACAACAAACACTATTAGCTGTTTTTTTGTAACATTGTAATCCTGCTAGTAATCACATTTTTCGAAATGTAACATGTTATCTGTTACTGCCTAAGCTTGGCTAAAACAATAGTTTAAAATAAAAACTAACTTCTTTGGGCTAACTGGCTGACTTTAATTTCCAGTGCTTAGCTGCAGACACACTGGCCATTTACAGCATCAGTGAGCAGTCCCGGCTGGATGGGCAGGGCCTCCAGGAGCTGTGCCCCACCATGCTGCAGCAGCTGGATGCTGGCACCTGCAGGGCGCAAAAAGAGGAGGAGTCAAGCATTGGCCCCAGGCCAACGGACGCCGAAGGTGAGCACGGATTCGATACTTATCTTTAACACGCTATTTAGCTATTTATCGATCTTAAGAACAATCAACATATGTTTCTTTTAAGATTCCTGTAATGAACACTAGGTTACATTCTTTTGATTTAGAGCAGCGGTTTTCAAAGTGTGAGGCGCGTCTCCCCGGGGGGGTGCCAGATATGATACAACAACAACAATGGGGGACTGCGTCTACAAGCTACAACACTTTTTTCTTTTCTTCTGTGACTTCAAATTTGGTTCACAGATATGTGGATATTTTATACAAGTGTAAATGTATGCACACAAGCTCAGATTTTTTTTCTGCTCACATCAGGTTTTACAAGCTCTCGCATTTTGCACCATATCTACCTTCATACCAGAAAGCTTCAGGGGAGGCGCAGCGTCAGATTTTTTTAACGAGAAACAGTGAAATCTAGCTAGTTAACTTCAGCTAAGTTTATGCGAGCGGCAACATAGATCGATTTTTAGTGAAGTTACCTAAAGTGAGAGAGGAGACAGCGTCTGGCACAAAGCGTGTGTCACTTGGGGCGGACTGGTCCTCTGTAGAATCTGTAGAATTGCAGAACGGCCGGTCGTCAAGGGCCGTTGGCGGCCGGCTCGGTTCGCTCACGGCCGGCACCGCCCTTCATTTTTTATGTTTTTAAACGGCATCATTGAAGTTTGTTAGAGATTTGGAGGGCAAACTGGCCCGCTTTTCAAATCTCCGCGTGTCCCTATCAAGCTGGTTATAATACAGGAAGGAATCCATATCTACAAAGTAACCGTTAACAATAATCTACTTTAATGGCAATATGACAATGCAATACAATCATTACAATACAACATCATATATTACAGTTATATTGTAATGCTTAAGGAGTAATGCCGGCTCACTCCTGCCCTGGTTCCCGTGCTGCGGAGATCCTTTCGCTCGGGGCAGCATGTGAAGAGAGACCGAACACCAGGGATCCACCGGAGATATACCAGAGTAAGAAGGAGGGGTTAGGTGTTAGGTCAGCTGGTCATCTTTTCAGGTCATCTCATTGAGCGACGCAACGCTGGCCAGCAGGAAACCAAACAGGCTCACTTTACAACAAAAGGTCTCAAGGCCTGCATACCTACACCTCCCCCACAGAGCAATAAAACCCTGTTTACTCCAACCAGCCCAGAATGTTTATAGCCATTTGTAGTCCTTACATTTATGAAAGGATAAAACAGAGAAATCAATATAAAACACAAACACAGGTATTGTTTGAACAGTATTCACTTAACTGCTACTATTGATAACCACCAGAGAAACCCAAGGGACCTCTCTTAATATCACAAACACTGTAGCTAGATCTAAGTTGACTGCAAATCAAGACATGCTCTCACCTTCCCCCATCTTCCTTTGTCCTCAAAAACACATGTCAACAGGCCCCAAATCCAGCTCACAGTTTTACCCAAATTATTCCCATTTTAAGCTTATCCATAGTTTGCTAACATGAATATATACAAATATTACACTACAAATTGCGCTGACAGGCGACAGAGGTCCACCGTTTCCCCGCAGCGAGGCTCCCCCCGTTGACAGTCCACTAGCGCCCCCTCTTACTGGACCTCTTTGAAATGCAATTGAATGCCCCTGCATTATAGCACCAACAACAATAATAATAATAATAATTGGGAGGGGGGGGGCGCGGCTGTTCTTATGTTCTCTGAGGGGAGGCTCACCTTCCCACACTTTGAAAACCCCTGATCTAGAGGATAACAACAAATCCAATGAAAAGACCAAAACTAACAATTCATTAATTGTACTAACGGAGCATATTTCAATGATCATTTTAATAACTAAAGAGGCCCTATTATGACTTTTGGGGTTTTCCCTTTCCTGTAGTGTGTTATATAGGTTTTTGTGCATGTTGATGGTCTGCAATGGCTAAAATCCCAGCGTTCCCTCCAGAGGGAGTTTCTCTCCCACACACCCCCCCCCCCCCCTGCATCTCCATTGGAATACTTTGTTTACTTCTGTAACATAGTGCGTCACAATGCAACACTTGAGCTTTGGGGCTTTTTAGGGCTCCAACACATTGTAGGCCAAGGGTCGGGACATTTTCGACACATCTCCAAGCATGACCAATCCTAACAGAGACGGCCAGCTGAGCAATCAGAGCAGACTGGGCTCTGGTTTCAGACAGAGGGTGAAAAGAGGTGCTGCAGCACAGGCAGTACGCACGTCTTTTTGAACATTAAAGCATGTCGACGTGTCACAGTAGAGACACTAAATACAACGTATGAACCTTAAAATGTGCATATTAGAGCCCCTTTAATCATATTTGTTTTGGTCTTTCCAATGAATTTGTTGACTGAAGAAAAAAGTATCAGCAGCCTTATCCTTTGAATGTATTCTTTAACTGTACTGTACTCTAAATGTACTTAATTGCATTTGTGTTGTCTGTTGGTAAACAACTTTGCAGTTGGTGATATTTCTTTTTACAGCTTTTGTATCTGTTCATTGTGTAACTAACTACATTCTGCCTATTCTAGAGAGACTTCATCATCATTTCTTTCAATCACTAACTTTTGAAAGTTTGTCCTCATTTCTCTTTTCTTTACAACTGTATTTTCAGCTAATACATGGAGGCTTTAAAAACACATTTCTCCATCAAATCTGAGCTCCAAAGTGTGTGTATTGTTGCCTGGAGACAGTGCTATCATGATGTCCCCAAACGAGATGAAAGCCATAACAATCACGCACAGATAGCCAAGGCTCAGATTGGATTTCTCAGTTTGGCTACAAAAGCAACACATCCTGAAATCGTGCCTCAGTCAGCACATCAGATAGAAAGCAGAGATGTCCTCCAGGTAAAGACAGTGGGACAGGAAACCATCCCTGCCACAAACTGCTCCTCTTTCCTTGGCTGCTGACTCATTGTAACTCCACACAGACTGCTCACTTTACACAACCATTAGGACGTCCTTGCGAGCCCTGGAAGTCATTTTGGTCTCCATCCAATTTAACAAGAGCTATAGTTGAGTGAATTGCAGTATGTGGCTCTCATAAGAAGCTAGCTGATGACAGACTTTGAGAACGTGGCCATCTTGTGCTCTGTCCTGCCGTCGATTGTCAAAAAGCAGCAGTGCTTAAAATTGCCTTATTCAGCTATTTTGGGTTTTTCCCTTTACTGTAGTTCTTTATATAGGTTTTTGTGAATGGTCTGCAAGAGCTAAAATCCCAAAGTTCCTCCAGAGAGAGTTTCTTTCCCACACACTCCCCTCCTGCCTCAAACGGACTCCTTTGTTTACTTCCACAACATAGTGACATCACTATGTAACACAGTTGATAAACTTCAAATATATGAAGCCATCATAGCCTTGGTAAACCAACTCTCAGATGTCAGTTAGTTGAACCGCACTCATCTCATTCTTCATCGGGTAGAGGAGAAATATGTTAGCTATCTCTCCCCTTCCACTGATACATGTTTATTTTTCTTATCACCCTCTCATTCCCTCAGCTGGCCTCACACTCGCCCTTGTAGACCGCTTATTTTGGCCTGAGATCTGTTTTGTTTGGTCTGCCAGCAGCAGGGAGGCGGAAGCCATGGAAATTCAACTCTCTCTCGTATATCTTGATCCTTTCTCATTACCTAAATGTGATGTTTTTGCAACCATTATTTTTTGTTGGTATAAAATCAGATCAGATTTACTATCGAAACACATCACTGGTCATGGTAAAGTCAAAGCACAAACGGCACGATTTTACTTGTTTTAGGGTGTTGATGCTGATTTAGTATTATCTTTGCTTTTGTCTACTTTGTATCCCTTTTGACACCATGCCTAGCAACTATCTTAAAGGTCCCATGTCATGGCCATTTCTACTGATCATAATTCCATTGTTGAGGTCTACTAGAATAGATTTATATTGTGCAATTTTCCAAACTCACATTGGTTTCTCATACAGCATCTCTGTAAAGTATGTGTATTCACCAGGTATTCACTCTCTGTCCTAAACGGCTTGTTGGAGCTCCTGCCCCCCCCCCCTCCCTGTGAGCCCAGTGTGCTCTGATTGGTCGGGACGTTGCGAGGCTCGCTGCTCAGTGAGCTGGCTTACTGGTGTGGTTTCCGGGTCGGCGATACAGCGAGATAGCGCGCTACTCATCCTGAGCACACACAAACGGTCACAGCCGAAGTAAAAACAATAAGTGTGGCTTGATATTGAGTAAGAAAAAGGTTTATAAACGCTGTGAGAATGGGTCTGCTGAGAGCATTTCTCCGCGGTCCCAACTCGTCTATTACCAACCAGGGAGCTCTATGCAAGTCAATGGGACTCCCTGTTAGTTGAAAATGTACGCTAAAGGTCCTGGTGTGTGAGGAGCTCCGCGGATTGGTCCATTTTCGTTCCCGGAAGAAAACAAATGAAAAAGAGAAATCTCCAACGAGGCGTTCTGGGGCAGCATAGACAGGTCTTTTCTGTGTTAGAGTTTTACTACCTACAGGGTGTACTTTGAGGGTTTGTGACTCTGCAGACCGTTTACATGCAGAAAAAGCTACATAACACACAAGGGGACGGGTAATAACCGGAAAAGCATATGATGGGAGCTTTAAGATGTTCATTATCAACTGCTACCTACAGGCCAGCAGTTTTCAAATGACCCGCAAAACTACTTTGGTGTTATCTCTTTTGAAGAAGAGTTCTCTAGTTTCTTGTAACATGAATAACTTCAGGTCGTTTTATGAAAGTCAGCAGGATAAAAAAACAGGAGTTGATGGAACTAGTGATTGAGTTGATCGAGATTGATCGAGGTGGAATATGGACCAATCAGAGATTTGTGTCGGTGCTGCACAGGCCAAATTTGAGATGTACTGTAGCTAATCTAGGGGCACCATTTTGATAGCACTTTAACTTAAAAGCAAACTTTTACTTTGTTTTTGAGTTGTACTTTATAGAGGTTTACCTTTGCGTTACCACAAACCCCCTAATCTAGATTCGGTCTCCTTTCTTAGCTATGAGAAGGTACAGTATTTAACAGCATCTGATTGGTCAGAAATCTCTCCTAATTTGAACCTTTCTTTCCCATAAACTTCACAGGTTCTTCAGCCAAAAATGACAGTAAAAGTTAACTTTTGACACATTTTCACTAACCTTATTTAGTTTTTACAAATGTTTGTTAAAGCAGTGGTTCCCATTTCTGGCTTTTGACCCTTAAAAGCCACTTGCAACCCCTTTTCACAATTTGCATATTTCTGTATTGTGGGCAAAAAAATAATATGTGCATGTTTTAATGTTACATCTTCCTCTTCCATCCAACCTTCCTGCCACTCAAACCTCTAGTGTGGGGTTTTTCTTTCCTGAGCGTCACAATCATCAATCTATTCTCCCTCACCGGAGTCTTCATCATGCCCCTGATGAAGACGCGCTATATGAAACAGGCGCTCACCTTTTTCATCGCTCTTGCCATTGGCACGCTGTT